ATATATCGTCATGAACCCCAAGGACAACGAAGGATATGTATCCATGTTACATTTCAGAGGGCACTGCTTCACCCTATAGTTGCTTCTCGAGTTCTGTCTAGGATTGTGTTGCCGAGAACATTGGCTCATATAATTTGTCCTAAAACCAGTGGAATTTGTGTACTCCTTTCGAAATTTGTGGTAGTCCGCCAGAAATGATCGATGTCACACGAAAATTAACTGTAGTGACTGTGTAATTCCTGACATGGTAAAACATGTTTTTTCACATTGACCCCAGACTACTGGTACTGCTGTGCTTTTGCTGGTACAACCCACTGCTCACCAAATTCTCCGGATCCATTTGATGAATTAGTATCAAGCAACAGCTTGTGCTAATCCTCACAAGAAAATCGTTTTTTTTTAAGCTGCTCTGACCCATGGATGGGAGAACATCGATGCGCACTACCTGCGGCGCACCGTGGATGTCTTTCTGCGCCGTCTCCGCGAGTGTATCAAAAAAAGAGGAGACCGGATCGAAAATAAATGGTAGAATACCAATATTTACCTAGTTTTTAAGCTTACTCAATGAAAATCATTGTAATTATTGTTCCTATGGCGTTGTAGTAGAAGTTGATTATACTATTAATACTTTCTCCGCACTATTGAGGATCCAGATCGACGAAAAACAAAGTCATTGTCCATTCACTGAGATGCTATGTAGTTAGAGCTACAAAACAGTTCACATCTCTCTATGTTTCAATGCAGCTGCAGTATAGAATGTCAGCGGTAAATACTCACCTTTTTCTCTTATTTTTTGAAGTTTCCTAGACTTCCGAAATGTTTTATAAATTTAGTAGATAACGACAATAAGAGCCAGTGAAACTAGCGCTATGTCACAGCACACCTCGAAATGAAAGTTTAAAACACATTTATTTCACGCTTTTAGGTTTCAGTACAATGTACTACAACTGCAAATGAAGACGCTGGAAATGCAAAAAAAGAAGAAGAAATACAAAAACTGTTCTACTTCACCTGATTAGTAGACAACTAGTCTATCAAGAGATCGCCAATGAAAAACGAAAATCACATCAAAACCAGTACAACATGAGCGAACTTCCCCTTCCAAGCGCAAGTATTTAATTTGGATTTGATCCTGTGGAAGGATTGGTGGAAGCTTCACAGATTCTGCCACAGACTAACAACACCCGCACTGATCTCGTTGAAAAAATAACGTTTAGAACGTAGATTTAACTTTAACTGCATTGCACTTTAAGTGCGCTTAAAATACAGACGGAGAAAGAAAACATTAGAACCACGTGTGAAACTATTTAAAAAATCGCAAAACAGTGTATAAGTTGCGTGTCATCCTTTCCCAGGGGCCATGCTAATCTTCTCTGTATTGCTCCAATTTAAATACATGTTCAGGAGTGATTTGCATTCATCCTGCTCATTTCACCGACTTATTCTTTTTTCATTTCCATTTCAATTCCTTCATTTCCCCCAGATGTTCACTCTATTATTAAACCCATTTTCTCCGCGTTTTGTAGTGGCTCCTATCTCCAGTCAGGGCTAGGATTCATTAGATGTAAATTGTACAAATCAAGGATGATTAGAGTAATTGGCCATCATACAGACTATGTAATGTTAGGCGACGAAGGATGCAAAAGTTGGTCTGTTAAAATGTTTCGCACGGTCATGCTTTTATGAATCCTAGCTCAGCCCGTCTTCTAAGATTCAGAAGTAAACAAACTAATTTTCTAAAGAACTAGCACATTAACGCTCGTGACAGAAGGGGGAAAGAGCAAATTCATGATGAATCCCTCTCCCCCCCCCCCCCGCCTCTTCCCCTGCTCTTTCACTCTCCCTCGTACTCTAGGGTACAACTCCCAGTGTTCCTTTTCTGTTCCCTTCTTTACTTCAATTCGCGTGTACGAGCGTCCTCTCTCAGAATTAGAACTAAAGCATCAGGTTCCTATCGGGCTGATACAATTTTGGTGCAATTATCTGCACAGTCTAGCAAAAAACTACAGAGTGTGTGAAACATTCCATGTGCCAGCACAACGTTTTCAGTTTTTTGCTTGTCCGGTACTGTTCTGCCTCGCCGCCTCCCATGAATTCTGCAACTGAAGAAAGTACTGGTCTCCATGGTCGCATTGCTTTTCTATAAAGACTTTGTTTTGACGTCGCCTCCACAGAAAACAGTTGAGCAGTATCGTAACGTTGATGAACAAGATGCGATAAGAATCAATCTAAAAACGAAGTTCACATTGTAGGCCAGCACCAAACTGAAAACATGCATGCATACCAATTCGAGAGCGTTGTCGAAAGCATTTGCCATCAATCTATTCCCGTTGGCATGGGCAGATAAAAGTAATATATAAAAACCAACCGTCGTAACGCTGCACAACAGTTCGTTCAGGGAGATGCAAGTATAAACAGCAGCAGTGCGGCCGTTTTCTTTGTCCTGGTACCTAAAGGAATCAAAGAGTGTGTAGTACATCAAAGACCGTGCATCCAACGGTAATTTTTGTCACTTGTTTTGGTCTGACGTTCATCAACCTCATATCTGATTTGTGACAAAGAAACAAAACTGAAAATAATCAAAAATCCTCTCTTGATTTTGGGCCATTTTTGAACACAAGAGATTTCTTGAACTTCTGAACTTTTCACCTCGGCTAGGCTCTGCATAGCGAGAATAAAAGCGGAATTATTTATTAATACATGATAGGGCCGATAGTGTTTCCACAGCAAATGTTAACGGTAACCCTGATGTCGTGGATATCCTCGGTGCCGCCTACATCCAGTGGAAAGAAAGCCACAGCAATCTTGTGCCGGCGGAAGCGACTGCTAGAGAAAGTGCGGCTGGCACATACTAGGTGCATGCCTCTCTCTGGATTGCTAGCACAGAATGGCTTGCGTCAGAATGCATGATTTCGCCTGCCGCGTAGCGCAGGCCCCCTGGGTACCAACCGCACCACTACAGCACATGTGAGGTAGCCCGGTCTCATACACTATGCGCAACTGGCAGCATAACAACATATGTGATATTGCAAATGAGCTGCTACCATCACTTTCCAGTAGGATCCGTACTGTTAATATACGCACATGTTACAATGCAGTAGAATGAATGAAAGGACTTGCGATGCTTAGGTGCCAGCTGTTTATACGCCAGCTGCGCGGTGGCGGAGGAAAGTCTGCGCATGCGGGGAGCTTCGGGACCATTTGCGACCTGGCGGTGCTTCAAGATGTTGCAAAACAAGAGTATGCAGGTACCCAATAGAGACGGTATATCTTCTTGAATTTGTAAGAACAGGCTATTTTATTCACAATTATCAGCATTATTCAAATGATAACGTTAGGTTCCTACAGAAACCTCTATTTCCTTCCAATTCTCTCTATTATGTCTACAGTAATTGGAGAAAGTTAGCACCGTGTCAGAATAAAGTTGCGCAATTTGTGATTAGCTTATCAAATAATCCCTCATGCAAAACATGAGAAGACCCTGGCAGCCAAAACTTCCATTGTATACCCTCTATAATTCACTAAAGCACTCCGCTACAATACACGAACACGTCAAACACGTAAAAATGTCGAGCCTTTGCAATTTTTTCAATCTTTCGTAGACCAAAGATGTGAAGCGATGCCAGTTTTTCGCAGGAGGCCCCGAATAACGCAGACGATTCAAGGGCTGCAAGAAAAACTGACTTTTTCGCTACTCCGGCGCCCGAACGCTGGTAGTTTAGAGAAAAGTGGAAGAAAAACGTAATTATAATCAGTTAATTGAAAGTAAGCATTAGAAAAATAAGAAGTGAAATAAAATCTATAATCTCTGTCTGGTGGATGGCATTTTCAGCAGAAAATCTGCTCGAATGGGAACAGTTAAGGGGAGAAAACAGTCTGAGAAGCCGTGCAGATGAAACGAACGCAATCGAGGCGGCAAAAACTTCCACGAGCAGGAACGCCTTGTGAGCTTCAGCCCATAACGCGTTCATGGGTTTCGACAATCGTTATAAAACTGAAAGGAGAAATAAGGACGTACTTCTTCCGCAATGAGTATGATAGCGTCATTTTCTTTGAGGTCTTCCTGTACACGTACAGTGAAATTGCAATCTAAATAATCATTTTGAGTTAGAAGCTGTTCACTATCACATACCGTCTTCGATTTCAGAATTCAACTAGTACGAATTAGGATGATGTAACGCCATTGCATTCTCTAACTATCCTTGCGTTGAAACTCTTGAACGGTGTGGTTGAGCCAAGAAAGTTGGGGAAAGAATTTCATGGACATTTGAAGATGTGAAACAGCAACATAAGGTCCTAGCCAAACATTGAGAAAGGATGATCCATAAGCTCTAGGAGTTCTCATAATCTCTTTATGACTGTACTGACAAAATTGCAGAAGCATCGCAACAGTTTGACAAAAGGAGTGACCGATGACTTTGGCATTGCTGTGGCCGCGGTCACTCTTTGAGCTCCCTCTGCATCGAAGCTACGGTTCAGGTTCGCCTAGGGTAGATCGTCAATGATCAAAAGGTCTCAGTATAGGTGACCCCAAAAAGAAAAAAGATATGAAAGACGACGCGAAAAACCGGAGAATTCAAAAATCATCCTGATCAAATCAGTCCTATAGCATTTTGTGCAGATTTCGCTTCTGTGGATAACCTCACAAGCTTGCTATTCGAAACTGAATAAGAAATTTTCATCTGCTTCAGAGTAATGCATTAACTAAGAAACACAACGCAAAAGAAACAAAAGCGCAGAAGAAACTAAGAAACAGGACTTACTAAGGAACACAGCGCAGAATACAAAAGCACGAAAGCAAGCAGGACTATGCTCGAGTACTGTGCTACGAGAGCGTTGAGAATTGTTCCCATAGCGGCTGAAGCGCCAATCTGAAACTACTCTTGTACTGGAATAATCATTTTGTGAGCTGAAGTAGTTTTGGCAAAGGGTTTATTCCAATTGTTCTGCTGTTAAAAATACTTCATTGGCCAACTTTCAGCGGCCTCGCCTCCGTCAGATCCTGAAAGAGTCAGTTCAATCTGTCGATGCACTTGGACAAGCACGTCCTCGATCTAACATCAATTCAAGCTGCACGAGAACAACCCCAGCAGCCCCCCTCACTTCTTGTCAAGTTCTACAATCGGGTGATG